ACATTGTTTCTTAGTGTCCCATAAAGTATCAAGTGAGTTGTCTAGAGCAAAAGCTATCTTTTATAGCTTTTTAATATCTGAAGCTGACTGAGTAATGAACTTATCTGCAAGCGTAATCTGTCCTCCTACTGAATTAGCATCTCAAGGAGTATGTTTTACCAGTTTATTAAACATTTTAAGAAATCAGAGGGGTGTTTATCTTTATCCTGGTAAATAGCTGAAATTTAATAACTGAAGACTTGGTCTTAGTTTTTTAGACCTCCAAGGATACATACTAGAAAATATATTTTATTACAATCTCCTGCCTGACTATTAGGCCATCAGGGGTCTGACTGCTTCAGCTCCAGTGGGAGCAGGTAGTTCCTGTTACAGCTAAACAAAGATAGACTGGCTGTCCATCTTCTGGTTGTTTAAAATTAACAATATGATTATCCCTGCATAAACTCAGCTAAGGATGAGTATAGCCTTGTAAGGGCTTGGATTACAGCTATTTTAGAAGTCCACCCCTTTGAAATACAAATAGGGGAAACCTTATTTTCAGTAATGGTGGATGAGGCTATGATTATGGCTATCTTGTCCTTTGGCTCCCAAGATCAGGAAGCAACAGCCTTAGGCATCCGAGCTGCCAGGTTCTCCTGTAGCCCACACCTACATTTTAATACTAGAATGACTTTTTAAGGCAAACATAATCTGAACATAATTGAATCAATTGCACAGGTTATAACATTCCCTATTAAGGAAAAGTTCAGAAAGTTGAATTTCTGTGCCCGACACACAGGACACTATTGTGTATCATCTGCACATTTGTTCTTAGGTAAACTCATACTTTTATGGTCTTAAACATCTAAGAGGTAAATATAACCCTTACTGGCCAGCAAACTCAGGCAAAACTATGCTAACAATTCTAAAAATTTCTTCATTTTAGCTCTACCAACAGGTACAAAACAAGCTTGTTTATCAAAGATTTACTAAAGTCATGTGAACACAAAAATCATCTTGGTTGTCTTATATAATATTGTCTTATTCAGTTTTTCTTCACTGGGGCACATTTAAGGGAAAAGAGGTTTATTTTGGCTCATATTTCTGAAGTTTCAGTCTATGTTCAGTGGGTTTAAACAGAAAAACACCATGGGGTTGGGGGGAAGGGCCTGGGAAGAGGAAAGTGGCTCATATCACTATAAGTTCAAGCTGCATGGTGAGACCCTGCACACACACACACACACACACACACACACACACGAAATAAATAAATAAATTTTTTAAAAAACTATGGGAAAGGACCATCACATAACCACCAGAGTTTTGGGCCGATCTTCGTGGGATGCCTTACAATTCTGGGATCCCACTTTCCTTCTGATCCATCTCCAAAGACTAGGGAAAGTTGTGCCTGTGACTTTTCACTGGACACCTTGTGCTTATTTTCTTTCTTTTTTATGAATTTAGGACAGGGTCTACACAGTGTACAGGGTCTCACTACGTAAACTGGACTCATAGTGATCCTCCTGGTTTCAGCCTCCCAAGTGCTGGGATTACAGGCGTGAGCCACCACACCTAGTCTCAATCTCCATCTCAGTGTGCCCTGGAGGCAGGGCCAGCACTGCATGCTTGGGAACCGAAGAATTAGTAAAAATAAGAGACAAAAGCAGGTCTCTGTGCTCTGCTGAAGCAGGTGCTTTATTCTGCTGAGCTATCTTGCTGGTGCTTTCTTATTTTCTATTTAATAACCATCTGGAATGGGTATTTCAACTTCCACAAGATTTTCAGAAATATGTAGGGAGGAAAAAAGTTGAAGATCCAAATCTTTCATAGCTTTTTTTTTAAACTGGGGGAGTCAATCTTGTTATATTGCTCATACTGCACTCCAACTTGTGGACTCAAGTGATCCTCTTACCTCAGCATCCCAAGTAGCTGCCTGGCTCAAGGAATCAAATCACTTATAACCCATGGCAAAATAAACCAAAATAAGTTACTCCCAAGAATTTACAGGGCTGGTGAGATGGCTCAGTGGTCTAAAGCACCTACTTAGAACAAGCTTAGCACAAGGACCGCGGTTCAATCCCCCAGCACCACATGCCAGCCAGCGCCGCCCCCTGGTGGGCTGAGCTGGCCACACACACACACACACACACACACA